TTGGCCAGTCAGAGACCACTGTGCTATATGCCTGTTCAAATAAATTAGTACTTTTATTTATTTTTTTTCTACTAGCGGTTACGCGCTCCAATAATTCAAAATTCGATAAATTTTTAATCAAATAGCGCGAATTTTTTTTACGATTAATCGTTAATCGAATAATTGGACTATTAGGCATCCCTAGAAAAGAGTAAAATGTAATGTTTTTTGGTGGTCCTTCGAAAATACCGAACAGCAAAATTGCAAACAGCAAGTGTAACCCTAGAACCAAAAGTGGTGGAATGCTAGTTTTCATTGCTATGACGACGACTGAATTAAAGATCTTAGAAGCAGAGGGGTGAAAGTCAATTCTCTTCATCGATTTCCTCTTTTGATGACCATGGCTTCACTAACCTATTTCGCTCTATTTCTGCTATGCTATTCAATCATCCAGAACAACAAACGTATCAATGAATGTACCGAGTAATTAACGAAACAGAAAGTCGATGAAGAGAATCGATCAAAATCACTTTCACCCCTGCTTCCAGCTGGTGGATTTGTTAGTTATTCCGATGCTTGTGGACAATGCTAAACATTTACCACTTTTTTAATAGTTTTATGTAAAAAATCAACAGTCAAAAATATTGCTATTGATGCGTGGATATATTTGTGATCTATTGGTGATTTAATTATTGAAATTGGTTCAGGGGCAGCTGAGTTATTAACGTTCAAAATCTTTCATAATTTCGTTACATGTTCCATTTTCGGTTTAAACAAAGTGTACCCCTATATAAAAATCACAGATGTAGTCCTACGTCAATAAAAGTGCATATTTTTCACAGGCCAACATCCAGACTCGTGGCTTTTAGTGCGATAACCACTTTCTGAATGCTTCAGTTGTCTTTGACGTTACACGGGCTGGCGATTTTGATTTAATATTCATGTTGGAGATTTGGTTAAAATTTTCATATTAAATGCTGATATATATTCAAAAGCGAATATTTCAATAAAACTAACTGGATGCATGATGCAATCTTCAGCAAAGTTGTTACTCATTAATTGAACTACATGTTTTGAAAAGCTGAATCAAATCGAGAATAAGGAAACTTTTTATTGATCGATAGAGTGTAGGAGTGTAATTTTTCAATGTATTTCATCTAAAATCCCCATACAAAATTCAAACTCAAAGCGCCAGCTTATCCTACAACCAAATGAGCTAAAACTTTCAAAGAATGGTTTTCTCACCTAAAGACACAACTCTAGAGGTTGGCCCGTGCAAAATTAGAACTTTTATTTGTGTGGGCCTGTCTACTGTCTCCACAACCATTACATAAACGTATACATCATAGACAAACTGATACATATTATTGGCTGTACAACATCGTCCACAAGCACTATTACCATCTGTTAACTACACTTTGGAGGGTACTGTGGTTTAAAAATGGTGGTAGTGTTCATACGACAAACTGGAAAGTAGATGTCAATGTGTGCTGCCGATGGCAACACTACCAATTACCAAAAAATAAAATGGTGGAAATAATAAGAAGATAGTGAAAAGCGAATCACACATTATCGAGATGATTTATATGAGAACATACACATACACAACTCCTTTCGATCATGCATGCTTCGTTTCTCAATATTTTCTAATTATCTCCAACACCTGGATCAAGACGATGAAAGTTTTCTCTTAGAAATAATTACTGTTTACACGAGACGTAATGCATGTTGGACTTTAATCAAACAAACATTTCATGTAAAATTAAGTGTTCTCAATCCGAAATATAAGCAACGAGACGAAGATAACGTTTGATTGAATTGGTTTTCTCGTTTCTTTCAACTGATTCTCGAGGAGTTTCTACCTGCGGTAATTTCCGTTCAGTGTCAGTAAGATTACCGAAAATCACTCTGATTACTTTTCAGTTAATTAAAATTACTTTATTACTTTGAAATTACTTTTAATACTCTCATTTACCGAAATTACTACGATTATTTGAATATTTTTAGGAATTACTTTGGATTTACCCAATTATTCAAATATTAACATTTTTTCCAACGATGGAATTGTTAGAGAAATAAGACGACATCCAAGCTCGATTAAAAAAAAATGAGCTGCTTGGCAAAAAACAAAACTGGAATCATGTTAAACTCATATTTCAAACTGAGATTAAAAAAAGTTTCATTGAAAAATCGGAATTTGTAAGATTTAGTGTGTATACTGTACTTCAATAAAGCGAGACTCGTCTGTTGCTTTTGTTTTGATTTGGATTTGTACATTTACGCGCACTGATGTCATGATGTCATAGAGTTTGGTGACGTTCAACGCACGCACACTTGCGGGTGTATCGCCCCGTAAAGTTGTTTATTATTCAACTCTGGCTAAACTAAAAAATGTACGAAATTAGATCGGTGAAAATGACCTTGACAGCGATTTGTTATGTATTTTCCTCGGATTTTCACATATCGCACCAATACAACCGGGCGTAAAAATCTCTATAGATTAAATATTTTATTCGTATTTATATTTCCTTCATTAGGAACTGAAGCCTCATTGCAGTAATCGAAATGAAGCATTTTTTGTAAGAGCGCTAATATGAAAAAGTCGATTCGATTTGGTTGCATGATGTTTCCCCTTATTTTTATTCAGATTTTAATTTTTAATATAAATATTCGATTATGACTAATTCAATAATAAACTAAACCTGAAACAACTAATATCAATAAAATTACACAGAATAATAAAAAAAAAAATGATAATTCCAGAGCACAAATATTTATGGACTTACTCGAATTACTGTTAATTTATCTTTAAAATTTCCAATTATTTCCCAAGCAGTAGGAAATACTGAAAAAACCAACAATTATTTTTATTACGTTGGAATTACAAAGTAATTACAAACTAACTGATTATTTTAATAATTTGTGATAATTTTCGATTATCGATCACCTTAAACAACCTGTACAAACCCCTAGCTGATTCTTATGTCAAAAGGGCCGCTTACATGTGTCGGTCTCAAGGAACCTAAATTTACACGACTTTTTCGTAGTGTATAAATAAGATTTTTTTTTTTAATCTTTAATATAAAGATTTTTAGCCGAAGGCTAGTTCATCTCTAAGAAATAAAAATACCAATCGTTTGAAAGAACAACTCTGGAGAGTGATTCAATTTGCTGTCAGGTTTTATATTTTTCTTCCAAAACTATATATCTCAGAAACTATGCTTTGAACTTATGATGTTTAATCTATCTTGCATGTAAAACAGTCTGAGAAACACGATGGTGCTATAAATCAAATACTTATATCCACAATGGCACATGTGTATTGATGGGTGTGATTTCATACGCAGGTGAAGAAGGTGCCTCTCTGCATATTTGATTATCTTCAATGGATGGCAATCGATGTTCGTCGGTGATTAGCACTGGATTGCGGAACAGAAACCGGCGTCAAATTAAGAAATAATACTTATATCCTTATATACTTATATTCTTGATTTTATGTTTTCTTGCTTCAAAAACAATTTGAAATAGTAACTAGGCGAGAAAAATGAGTTCTTTTCTTCTTAGTAAGAGGAAATTTAAAAAAAATATTGTTTCTCATATTTGTTCTCATTTGTATCTCAATAAATACGCTAATTAATTTTTGCTGACAAGTGTTTCTTTTTTTTTAAGATGGGACCATATTTGGTGCTGTCAAATTGGAAATCTAAATATATTCATTCTGAGAAATTTGCGTTTTTAAACTCAATTATAAAATATGTGGCAGCACTGTACAAACATAGTAAATTCATATTTAGATTTCTCGTCTAATTTTATCATAAAAACACTCTAAATGTTCATTGTTACTTTATTTGTTCCGATAACAGAAAGTAGTACTTTCTTGAAAGCTACGAAAATTAGAAAATACTCCGTTGGATCGAGGGGTGCTTCGATCAGCCCAAAATTTTGGATTCATGGAAGTTAGACCAAAATAAACATATCTTCCAAAGTAGGTCCAAATCGGAAGAGGTCAATTACACTTCTGTATTTTTTCTCGGTCACTTGCCGCGGAATGACCCATTTTCAGTTTTGACAGAATTCTGACAAGTTGAACCAAATATAAGTTGATAGTGGAATTTTAAAATTGACATTGTTGTTAATGGTAGTTTTTTCTCCACGTTTTCTTTGTTATCATTTTTTAGTAAGTTTCCATTACCAGAGGGTTCTCTGTGCGAGCTCCTTGGTGTGGGAGTTAGTGGAGGGTAAAACATAAGGTGACGATAGGGTCTCTTCCGTTCATTTTGGTTCTAAAAATGTTTTATGAAATTATAAAATAAATATGACTTTATGATGATATTTTGTTTGTCTAAGCAACAATAAAAAATGTGAAGTTCATTTTTGACACATAATACCTGCCGTTTGCCCATGTACAGGCGTTTAAGAGACAAGCGAGCTAGCGACTTTGGGAGTCACTAAATGGTGATCATTAAATGATCTTTATTTTTTTTTTGAGAGGGGGTAAAACCACTTCGTCCATTATTTGAACTTTTGTGGTAGCCCTATTTGCTGTTTGTATCATGTAAGCCGACCACTATTCAACTTTTCTGGCTAATTGCCTGGACACACCTTTTTCCAGTCCGGTAAAATAGGGTTAACAACCCTATTTCCGGCCTATTAAGCACAACCCTCTTTTTCAATCTAGCGTAGTTTAGCACCCTCATAAGCCCAAAATTGCTACTTGGGTAGTGATTTATAAAAATTTCTATGCAAACTTCAAACAAATTTGGCGACCTCTAATCCTTTATCCATGTCTACCATTGTCCAACAGGCTCATATTTTGGGATTATGAGTCAAGCTGGATTGTGACTTATTGGAATTAAAATACTTTTTTTTTAAATAAAGCACCCTACTGTATGCGCGAGTACAGAGTATTCTTTTCATCTCCTCACTTTGCTTACACTGAAGAGAATATCCATTCTGGATAGATTTTGTAAATTTTTATTGTTTTCATAAATTTTATTTGTTTTTTGTTTTTTTAATTACAGATGGCAAGCAGACGTTTCGGAAAGTGAAGTTACACGAGTTTCTCACAATGTGACAAACTTCGAGTTCTTGTACGAACCATTCTACGTGGCACCCGACACGGTGCCACCACACGACGAGCGGTTCCTAGGCTATGGATATACCAGGAATACTCAGGTAGGATATATGTTATAATTCACTTTTACACTTATATCAAGAAAATACCATTTCAACAGACCTCATTACAACTGTGACTCTCTCGAATGATTTTTTTTTTCTCCATTTTACATTCCCATTGAGCTGTACTCCCCACTGGACACTCGTCACATTATGACAACTCATTTCATTGGACTCATCCTGCCATTGTCGTTTTCCCCCTCTGCTAGACGGGGGATGAAAAGGAGTGGCGCGAAAAATTTGCATACTAATGAAAATTATTAGCTTGACTACCCATTCTCTCGGTACTTCTATGACGAGGGCTACACTGCCGACATCCATATCATCCGACGACCAACGTGGCGACGCGAGCGCACAGTGGTTTAATAGGGCAAAAACGTGCGTTTTATCAATTACCCGAAAACTGTTTATTTTTGACGCATAGTGTCTTCAGAGAAGTTTGTGGTCATGGTATGCTCGTTCGTTTGGACTTAACGGTTTCATGATTTATCAACGGAGGAAGGAGATGAAAAGGATTTTTTTTTTTATGTTAAAGACATTAACTCACTATCTTTTTCAGTTTTTAAGATATGCATGGTTTTTGAATGGAGACTTCTAAAAATCAACATTTTGCCAATAACTTTTCTTGTATTAATTTGCTGTCATTGAAATGTTCTAAACACTCAGAATCATAAAGATATTCCACTTTGTCCTTGAAAGTATGTTTCTATCTTTTATATTTTATACCAAAATAAGAACTAATTCGCTGATAATTCTAGATAGGGATGGAATTAGGCCATAACAGCCTTTGTAAACGATGACTTCTCTCGTTGATTTCTCGGAATTAAAGACACGCCTACACAAATCAACATATCCATCGGGTAGGAGAAGTCTTCCTCTACTCGATGGAAATGTCGATTTTCCAGGGAGAGCCATGACTTCCGAGAAATCATCGAGAGCTGTTACGCCCTAATTCCAGCTCTATCTAGAATTCATTTATAATCCTTAGTTTTCAATAGTTTATATGCACCAATATACAAATTGTGAAAACATAAGAACGTATATGAGAAAGCAAAATAAAATTTTAATTTGTTAACATAAAAATTCCACTTTGCTCAAATTCGCCCAGATTTTAAACTTAGATTGGAAAAAACCATACTCGAAGATTCGACTTGTGTGCAAAAAGTTATGGATCATTTAAAGATCAGCATTTAGTGACTCCCAAAGCCGCTAGCTCGCTATATGGGTAAGTGGTTGATAAAATTTACACAGCAATCGGCTCGATTGGCGGTTGTTCCTTATGGCTTGTCCTAACTAACTTAACCTCAGATATGGGCAATATTTGGGCAAGGAAATATTTTTAATCCGGTTTCAAATATAATTTTCATATAGTTTCAAAATATGCCTATCACCCTATGCGCGTCACCCCATCACTTACTAGAAATTAGTTGTAGTGCAACTAACTACACACTGGTCATTTTTATATTCATTGTTTTAAACATTTCGAGGCACATTGGACCCACAATGATCCGTCAAATGCTAAGAAAATATACGAAATTGGGTATGTTGGCATCTATCGTTATTCGGATGTTATTTTTACCAGTACACTGGAGTCGCCTTTTACGCGGTTTTTTTAACGCGGTTTTTATTTTTACGCGGATTTCGGAATTTACGCGGTTTTTTTTTACGCGGATTCCGGAATTTACGCGGTTTTTTTTTACGCGGATTTTGGTTTTTTTTACGCGGATTTCAGAATTGACGCGGATATCGCTTTTTACGCGGTTTTTTCTTACACGGTCTTTTTTTACGCGGATTTCGGAATTTTCGCGGTTTTTTTACGCGGTTTTTTTTTACGCGGGACGTATCACCCGCGTAAAAAGCGACTCCAGTGTATATTTTAAGGTTTTGGAAGCGGTAAAAGATTGTAATCCTGTTGTTTTGGACGCCATCTTAACCTTTTATCATCATCCTTGTGTGATTATAGATAATTTTGATCAATAATATGTTCTTTGACTATATGTTTTAGTATTACTTCTACGTGAAGTCAACGATTTACATAGTTGAAGATGCTAATTTCAAATAACAGACTGTAGTGGTAATTTTTATACGATAGATGGAGTAGATGAAAGCATAGAGTTGATAGTTCCGTTAGAGTACGGCAGTGTGAAGATTGTATATAGATATTAGACAAGCGAGCTAGGACAACTTTTAAGGAAGGTACAATTCGGTTTTTTCATTTCTCTTTACCAAACTCCCCCTTTGGAGAGGGATGGTGAGGGGTGGGAATGGTTAAACGCAATATGGAATGCTTTTAAAAATATTGGTAAACTTTAATAATGAATCAATAGTCAGAAAAATCGAGGTTTTTTGGACAGTTAACAGTTTTCATGCACTTGTTATTATGCATTACAATATTTTTGTATTTTCCTGAACGAAGGCTGAAAAAGTGAACCATTAATAATATTATTCTAAAAAATTTCCATCATCGAAGAGCTGAAAATCAACTTAAAGATTTAAATCAGTAATCCAGCCTAACCGGAGGACTCGCGAACACAATAAGCTCCCCCATCACTTATATTCCGAATCTGATTAAATGAGTTTTACAAGTATACAATTAAATATATATTATTTTCTCTCCGAGAATGGAAAATAAAATGGTTAATTGTTATGTCATATAAACGTTGAACATACGTTAGAGAAAATCAAACAATGTTACGTTGCTTCTTCCAGTTGTGTTTTGATCCTGTTTTGAATATTTGTCATTGAACATATAATAATAATATAATAGGACCTGGGATTTATTGAAACTCAAACTCCACGGTGGTGCCCTTTACACAATATACCGTTGTCAGTATATTCTAATACACACGTACACGCTTATGCTATACAACTGAATCGAGATCCATCGAAGAAGTGCGAGCCAGAGAGAAACGCAGTGATTAGAAAACAATGAATCCCTCAATTTTCGTGTGCTAGATAGAGAAAGACGATTAAACGTTATAAAGCTCTATGCAGATGAGAATCGAATTCGATTTCAACACTGTTCCCCTGCAAGCGAGTAGTTTGTCAGATCCAAAAGCGGGCCAACGAAAGAGACGATCAGTTTCACATTACTCGATCTCCTGTCCCTGTCATGGATTCCAAGTCATAAAAGCAAGACAAACGACACCCGTGGACACTCAAAGGAGGGAAAGTGGAAGCCTGTTAAAATGCAATGGTATCCGATAAACATTACTAAGGGCAGGAGGGGAAGCTATCCTTTCCAAAATTTTACGTTATACAGTTCATGGATACTCCCTAAGTGAAAGAAAAAGATAGAAATATAATGGAGAGATCTCACCAATATTGATATGCGTCTGTGTTCCGTATTAGCCGCACGGGCACGCTCGTACTCATAGTTGTGTGTGTATTTGCTTAGCAAACACATTTTACAATTATCGTACACCGGTTCCACCGATTCTGCTGCATCTTCAACAAACTCAACACGAGCCTTTTTGCACACACATAAGCTTGCCCAAAATCAATACTTTTAGCTTTTCGGAATTCACAAATGACTTCGTTTTTTTTTCATATTTTCCACATACACTAACACAAAACAAAAACAAAAATTTTGCATCCACCATTTCTTCAAGCCCATTTCACTATGATGGCATTGGACTTTTTTCTTTTAACTTCCGTTCACTGCACATCCTCTGAATAGAGTCATTATCAGTCATTATTGTAATAATGTCTTGAATGACAATTTAATCACTCCTCCATGCAGCCGAAATAATAAACTCGCCGACACATATATAAAAATGCAGATATACCGGGAGAAAACTTATGCACATCTACTTGCGGCAAAACCACGATCTGAACTGATATTATGATGATATTTTGTATGTGTACTGTAAATACCCAAAGAATTCCGTGAATTGATGCAATCGCCATTATACCTTATTACTGTGAAATCACTCGACACAGGAATTCGGTTGGCTCACAAAATAGGACTTACCTTTCCTAGAGTCTACTGCTGAATGCAATGGAACAAGCACGAGCTTTCGTAGCCACATCATTTGTGTCGTGTTGCCAATGTTCCACATCAGTCGTACCAACATTGTATGAAAGTATCACAAACACTTTCATTAGTGGAGAAAAGGAATCTGTGAATATTAATTCCCGTATTCATGTACCTCACATGTACGAAAGAAAGAAAATATTGTAAAGTTTGTGTTTGGCACGTAAAACCTGCAAACTTTGCTTTGACAGAGTCACAATGAGCGATTTTCTGATCGCCTCTTCGCCAGGAGTGAAAAGCGAAAAGTGGGTGAAAGTAATGATAAAATCGCTTGTTGTTGTTTAAATTCTGGAACGCGCAAAAATTGGTCAACTTCAAATTGGTGTATATTTGAATATTTTAAAAATGCATTAATAAAACCTGAAATGCTTTCTCACGACGAAGCTTATGTGAAGGCGGATTTCAAGCAGCTTCCGGGACAGGAGTTTTATAACGCATCAGGAAAAGGGAAGGTGGCTGAAATTTTCAAAACCATAAAACTATCGAAGTTCCCGAAAAAATATCTCGTCTGGCAGGCCATATGCTCGTGTGGTCTAACGGGAACCATCAGTCAAGAGATCTACGCCCAGGAGTGTCTGGAAAAGTGGCTGCTACCATTCCTAAAGCAACATAATAGACCTGTGCTGTTCTGGCCGGACTTGACGAGCTGCCACTATGGGAAAAAGGTAATCGAGTGGTACGATGCGATCAACGTGGTTGTGGTACCCAAAGACCACAACTCTCCAGCCCAGAGCTCCGCCCTATCGAACGGTATTGGACCTTAGTCAAACGGAATCTCAAAAAAACTAATAAATCCATGGAAACGAACAGCAGTTTAAATCTAGCTGGCGTTCGGCGGCGAATAAGGTCGATGAGACCACTGTGCAAAATTTAATGGCAGTGGTTAAGCGGAAGGCACGGCAGTTCGGGTTTGGCAAACCAAAAGAATAAACGAACATTTTTTCCTTTTAATATATGAATTGAA